AGGAGCAGTGCTGGTGAAGCTGATGGAGCTGGGAGATCCCAGTGCTGCCCCAGCACCCGGCACCGTGTGGGAATCACAGCGAGGCAACATCGGGATTCCCACGGAACACCGCGGACTCATCGCCAGGGCTCGCTGCCAGAGGGCAGGGTGGGTGGGATTTGGGGAATAAATCCTGCCCTGGCAGGGTGGGCAGGACTGGCACAGGGTGCCCAGAGCAGCTGGGGCTGCCCCTGGATCCCTGGCAGTGCCCAAGGCCAGGCTGGAGCAGCCTGGGACAGTGGGAGCTGTCCCTGTCATGGAATGGGATGACTTTGATCTCCCTCCCAACCCAACCCATTCTGGGTTCTCCGATTCTCCACAAAAGCAAATCTTGGTGTGGCTGGTGTGAAATTAAAGCCTAATTAGGACCTAATTAGAACCAAACCTAGGACAGGGGTGCTAATTGGCAAGCATGGCTTAGACAATCATTTTCCAGAAAAACCAAATTCTCCCAAGAAACAGCAGCTGAAAGATTTCATTTGCATTTTTGTCCAGCTCAGAATAATGATTTTATAAATTGTACAGTGCTGTGCTAACCTGTTTCCTTCAGAATCATGCCCTTAGTGATAAAATATTAGGAAAAACTTCCCAATTTTTTGTCTGAAAAGTATTTCCGTGGAAGAACACAGACTTTGGAGGGAAACTTTAGTGACTGGGAAGGGTGTGGCTCTTGGGGACATGGGTTAATGCTGGGTTAAGGGGTGGACTCAAAGATCTTGGAGGGCTTTTCCAACCTCAGTCATTCCAGGATTCGGATTCCTAGCAGGTCTCCCAGACTGCTCTTGATTGCTGGGACCAATCAAATTAATTTCCTTCCTATGGATGGGGCTTGATCCTGGCAGCAAAATGCACATGCAAAGACTGGGTCTGTGCCATGGGAGTGGGGAACATTCCCAAATTTCAGTCCCAATTAATTATTGCACGAGCCTCGAGTGCCAGCCCCTGGTTGGGAAGGGAATTTCCACTGTGGGAAGAAGAATTCCATAATTTCTGCTGTTTAATCACCCAGAGGTGATGTCTGTGCTTAGCTCTGATTCCGTGAGCAGCTCCCAGCTGTCCATCCAAGGATCCAGCACTAAATCCAGGAGGGTTTTCCTGCCCTTCCCTCCTTTTCCCTCCTGCACAGGCCGGGTCTGAGGGACAGGGCAGCCAAATTCTGCTGCTGTGGCACCAACATCCACCTGCCTGTGAAAAGGAGAAATCCATCTCCCCTGGACATTGTGTTCCCTAAAAGAACAGCTTGGCCAGCCTGGAGCTGGTTTGGGATGAAGGAAGCAGCAGTCTGGGCAGGAGGGGGGGGGTTATTTCTGCCCTGCAGACACAAATCTCATTTTTAGCTGCTGAAAGAGATTGGGAGAGGCTGGAAAGAGGAGCAGAGCAGCTGCTCCCAAGGCAAGACAAGGGCAGAGAGCTCGGAGAGGGAAGCAATCCCAGCAGAGCCCTTCTCCAGGCACTTCCCTCTGAGTCATATTCCAGCCGTGTCTGTTCCCAGAGCACTCAGGACACTCAAAACACACGGTTGGTTTTTAAAAATTATATTTGCATGGTGCCTACCCATTAAGCTGAGGACAAGACTCACGATTTTGGTGTCTGGAGCAGCATGGAAAATCTCCAACAATTTAATTATCCCAGCCACTTTTTTCTCTGGAGGAATGAAAACCCAAGCCCAGATCTGGAAAAATGTTGATTTCTCAGCTTGGGTGCTGCTCCTTTGGGATCTCACTGTTTAGGACTTGCCCTGGGAGAGGATCTGCAGAGCCAGGCCCCCGGACTTGGCTTAACCTTGCACCAAAAAATTGCCTTTAATGACATTAAACCCTTTAATCAGTTAAAACCTTCAATTCATGAAAACATTTAATGGCATTAAACCCTTGGAATGAGACATCCCCAGGGATCTCTCCTGCAGCTCTCCCTGCACCTCAGGTATTTTAAGGTATTTTGGAATAATTTAATTTTCATAGCTCCAGGGAGGTTATTTGTGAGGAGGGTGATGCTCAGCATTAATTTCACCCCATTTTCTTTTCCTTTTAGTAGCTCTGCCTATTTATTTAACTGAAATTAAAAAAGAGAGGAGCTCTGCTGTGCCACCCTCACCCCTGAGTGCCTGTGGTGGATTCCCACCGTGGGCTTGCTCCTTTCAGTCCTGGAGTTCTCTTTTTGCCCTGGTTTTTTCGCTCATACAAAGCAATAAAATCTGAACTTCAAGCAGTGCTCGTGGCCTCAGATGTTGTTTTTTCCTCCCAAACTGTTCTGCAGGCTCAGGGCAGGGGCAGATCCTCCCCAGCGGGCACCACTCACCCGATTCACCCGGGCCAGGCAGCTGCTGGCATCTCCCCTGTGGGAATCTGAGATATTGATGATTCCAGGATTGTAGAAATTCTCTGAGCCCTGCAGCAAAAAAATAAGTTGTAATTAATCTGTGCTGGTTTCCAGGTTGTTTATTCTGTTTATCTCTCACATGTTCTGCTGCCCTGCCCAGCTCTGTCCTGCAGGGCAGCGTGTGGGGCTCTGCCCTCAGTGGGATGTGACAAACATTCAATACCAGAAACTCCCTGGGCTGCATTTACAAGAACGTGCCAATATCTGTCACCTACGTTGGACAGTGTGTCCCCAGCCTGAACCAACAGAAAAATGCCAACACCACAGTGAGACATGGAGGGCATGAAGAAGGAGAAAAAGGACAAGGCACACCCAATTTCCTCCATCTTGTCCCCTTTGGGCCCCTCATCTAGAATCCTGAAATTTTACTTTTGCACCTGTGCCACACTTAATTATTACTTCTATCAAACACTCAGAGCTTGTAAATCATCCTCAAAGATTGAAAACTCTTCTCCACCTACAGAGATCAGACACACCCAATTTCCTCTATCTTGTTCCCTTTGAACCCCTAATCTATAATCCTAAAATTTTACTTCTGCACCCTTGCTGTTGCTGTCGAGGCAAGATGGGAAGAAGACTCTGACCAGAAGGTTGCTGAGAGTAAAACTCCTCTTTTATACAGAGGTCCATGAGGACCAACTCCATTGGTCCTGAAGTGAAAACAACCCACAGCATTGGTGCGGAGTTCTTGACGCACAGTGATAGAACTTAACTACAAACAATGTGAATAACAAGAGAGTTAAAGAATTATTTACATTCTTCTCCAGCTCTTTCCCAGGCTTCTGCCTGGCTAGAAACTCTTCATTTCTCTCTTTGACTGAATATGAGACCCACACCGTGCCACGCTTAATTATTACTGATATCAAACACTCAGAGCTGGTAATTCATCCTGTAAGATTGAAAACTCTTTTCCATGGCCAGAGATCACAGCCAGTGTCTCTGGGGCTCTGTCCAGGGGGGTTCCTGACCCCTGCCAGGGTCCCAGACCAGCCAGAGGGAAGCTCTGGATTCCCACACAGCCCCAGTGCACCCTGAGCTGCAGAAACTCCAAATGTCAGCGCTGAATTCCTCCCTGCAGCCCCCAGGCTGGATTTGGCTCCGGGATTGGGGGCAGCGATGCCAGCTGGGCACGGCTCCTGCCCAGGCAGCCAGGTCTGGGGGCACCTCCAGCTCCAGGAAATGCCAGGGGGCCTGGAAAAAGCCATGGAAATGTTGCAGTGGGTCCAGAGGAGGCCATGGAGGTGTTCTGAGAGCCCAGCCCCAGGCGGGTTGGATTGGCCACCAGGCTCAAACAATCCTCACCAGAATCCAACGAAGCAACACCCCAGGGAAACAATTCTCCAAACACATTCCACATGGGAAAACAAGGAGCAGAAATAAGCACGTTCTCATTCTGAGGGCTCTGGAGCCAGGCTGGG